CCCAGTGTTGCCTCACCAGAGAACTGGCTGTGGCATGGGAAAGGGTTTGCCTTGGGTCACAGCTGTGGCCTGAATGATCTGTGATTCTGTGGTGCTCAAAGGCAAGATAGCTGAAGACAGCCTGGTCCTTGAGAACCCAGTAGTAATACAAAAGAGAAAGATTTCACCTGGGGAGGGACAAGTTCCTTATCAGCCCAGCTCATCCCACCGAGGTGGTAATGCTCTCCTTTCTCTCCTCATCACCATGAGGTTTGCATCAGCACAGGATCAGACAGAATCACCACCACCCCCCAAGCCACCAATACTCCCTCCAATTATTGTGTGTACCCAATAAATAGTGGCTAGCTCCAAGAGGCTTTGTCTTTGCCCACTCTGAGGCACTGACCTCCCAGCCCCCCATACACTTTGAAATTACACAAGTCTCTATTGTCTTTTTTTCTTTAGCCCTCACTATCCCCCTTTCTAGGCAATCTACAGAAATTGGCCTCCAATAACCAACAACTCTGTGAATTTGGGGAGGGGAAGATGCAGTGTAATTGGCTTACAACCCAGTTTTCTTGTGTTAGTGAAGATCTCCCTCCCTAGGAGCTGGGATTAATTGTCCACACTGCTTTGTTCTTTTCTCCATGTTGTGCTGTTTCTCCAGTTTCTCTGTAGTGTCTAGGTTTCCTGCAGCTTTCTCCCACCCCCAATCCCCAGAGATCTACTTCTTTTTTCTTCATTGAGTTGGTTTTCCAGGTGTTTTGATTCCAGGTCAGGAAGCAGCTATATTTTGCTGCCAGTCTTTACTCTGCCATGATTAATCCCTCTCTAAGCTTCTTTTTTTTAACCTTCTTTTTCTCCTATCCAGAGTGCCCAGGTGTCATTTTTACCAAGTTTCAATTATCACAAGAACTTGGGATAAGGAACTGTGAACTGTTGGGTAAGGAGGAAAGTCCATGAATCAGATATATTGTAATAGTGATTCTTCCCTGCACACACTCATAACATGATCTGGGTGTTTTTTTATCACCTTGAACACTCAAGCAGCAACAAAGCAGCTATGAGTCCTATTTTATAGAAGATGATATATGCGTAGATGCTTTTCCTTTCAAAGTCCTATAGCTAATAAGGAAATGAGCTAGAGTTTATATTTAGAGTTTGCATGACTCCAAAGCCCATGCTCTTTTCACTAAGCTATTCTACCTCTGTACTGACAGTTGCTATTTATTAACTGGCCTCTTGGATAAGGTAGATAATTCAACACCTTCATTTACTGGGTTTTGTTTTGTTTTGTTTTGAGAGAGTCTTGCTGTATCTTCTAGGTTGGCTTTGAACTCACTACGTAGTCTAGGCTAGGCTGGCCTCAAACTTGTAGTGATCCTCCTATTTCAGTCTCCCAAGTGCTGGGATTAAAGATGTGCACCACCACACCCAGCCATTTACTGTTAATCTACAATAATTTGGCTTTGGTCCCCACCTGTCTGTAGAACTCCTCTACCTCTGGTGACAACTCTGGTTGCTGGACCTGGTAGACATTTTTAATCCTTGAATCTATGCAGTCATTTATGTATCAGTAATTTGAGTGACTCAATATGCCAGGCATTCTACTTATGCTGGGATATGTTGAAGATTGTTATGGCTTGTGTCTAGATGTCCCCCCAAAGCCTCATGTGGCCTTAGGTGGGGCTTTTTCAGAGGTGGCTCAATCTAGAGTGTAATTCATGGTGCAATGCTAGGCCCAAAGGCATTAGGATTAAGGGTGTGAGTGCTACCCACCCTAAGTAGTTTGAATACAGTAAAAGGGGCAGAAAGACACTGTTAAGGTCTCCTGTTGCTTTTGCTACCTCTAGTCTACCATGAACTGCTGCCCCTCTGCCATGTGCCACCCTAACTTGGACCAGCTGATTATGGGCTGAAACCTCTGCAAACTAAATAAATCTTTCCCCCTTTGACTTTGGGTATCAGGTATTTTGTCTCAGCAAAGAGAAAAGTAACTCAGACAGGGAGTAGAGTAGATATGATTTCTAACTCAGAGTTGTAGAGCTTGATGAGAACAACCAATAAATCCAAAAATATCAGCAAATTAGGAGCTCAATTTACCCATTCAGGCAGCATGAGGAAGTCTCTCTTTTAATCCTCTGAGGAAAGTAATTTAAAGGATCAATCTGCATTTGTTCTGGTTTCTAGTTTGGTTTTTTCCTAGTCTTCCTCTGCAAAAGAAAACAACTGCCGGGGCCAGGGATGTAGCTCAGTGACGCCATGCCTTCCTGGCAAACACAAAGCCCTGAGTTCAATTCCCATAACCAGAAAAAAAAAGAAAGAAGGAAGGAAAGAAAGAAGGAAAGAAAGAAAGAAAGAATCAAAAAAGCAACTTCTTGTGCTCAGCTAATCCAACACTCTATTTTACTGAATGTGATTTTTCCAACTATTAGATGTCTAAGAAAAGCCAACTAGATCTCTGTGTATGTGTGATAGAGGAGATTGAACACAGAGGCTTCACACCTCCACCCCTTTTCTTCTTTTCCATCCCTCCATATGGAATTAGCCAACTATTATTGGACAACTATGGGTTAACTAAGTAACTATGCTCTTTGTGAAATGCGCCTGAGTAACCATGACAGCTTCTGTAATCTTGTCACCAAAAGAGCATAATGAACTCAGAAAGTCCTGCCAGAAATCTGTCATCACCCCTCCCCCTTGTGTAAATTCTGCTTGCTATATTCCCAGGAAACGCCAATGAAATTAAGCCCTGTAAATGTAAAAAGAGGTATTTGGAAAAAAACCCCAAAAACTTCTATTCAAAGCTCTCCAGACTGACAGGAGTCACCCACTGAGCCACTAGCATTAAAGCCAATTTGCTCCTTCTTCGTGTGTCAAAGTGTTCTGTATTCCCCAGATTCCTGCTGCAATATCACATTTGGAAAGTATATTTTTGTTAAGAAGCAAATGAAAACAAAGCTGGAACAGGATAAAGATTGGGCCTTTCTTTCTAGACATACAACTTTTCTCAGCAGCACACAGTCAATGCCCCACTCCACTTCTTTACAACACTGGAAGTATGTGCAGGAACTGATTGGTTTTTTGAACTACTGTTCTACTGCTCCTCTACAGGCACCAATTCCATGACCACCCTTGAGCAAGTTGTTCCTTATTCTGTCTTAATCCTCCCATTTTAAAAGGGGATTAAGGTAGAATTCAGAGTGTTACTCTGAGTATTAACTGAAATGTTACATGTGAAAGCTTATCCATGAGGTTCAAGAAATATTTGCTGAAAGGAAGAAGCATGACAGATGAATAAACATCATATCTGGCAGGAGCAAGGACAGAGATTTTAGAAAGTTATATAAAAGCAACACTTTCAAATCCTCTCCACTCCCTAGAAAACCTGGGAAACTAACTGAGGCTCTGTTTTACAATTCCTAGCCCATATTTCCTCATAAAGTTTAGCTGCATCTTATCTGTTTTTATGAAGTTTCTAAATCTTTTATATTTCCAGATGTTTTTGAGAACTGAAGTTAGCTCTGTGGTTCAAACCAAAGCCAGCTATTAAGTAGCCAAAGTACAGCAATTGAATATGTGACTATTTCCCTTTCAGACATTCTTTGTTCTCTTCTAGAAAGTGTATTTCTATAGTTTGATTATCTGTGAACTCTGTGAACTCATCTACCACACTCATGTCATCTGATGTTCCTTCAGTGTTGTAGCTGTTACTGTCAAGAGAGATGAGAAGCAGGTACAGAAGATGCCCGGCCCAACTCTGGTCTTTGACATGTATTCCTTTATGTCTTCTCACAAGCAATTCATTTATGATCAACTGTCTGTTTTCACCAGTAGCATTTTCAACTCTTTTAAGACTGCCAGCTGCAAAGATTGCATTATTTTGAGATCGCTCTAAATCCAGAAAAAATTATCTTCCCTTTCCTCTGTCTCTTGGAGAAGGCAAAGTAAAAAGAATTACGATGTGTTATGTATATGTACCAATTCCCCACGATTAAAAGTAAGCATTATGTACTGCAAACATGTACTAATAATTAAATTTTAATAAATAAAATCAATCCAGAAAATCTAGTGGTCTTGTATTTACACGAGGTGATTTCAGAACCAGAGATTTAAGATGTGCTAATCTTTAAAATGGAACATGGCTATTATTTCCTTCTGCAACAGTCCTCCCTGAAACTTGCAGTACACCCTGGCATTTGGTGCTCCTTGGAATCCTTGTTCCGGGTCAGCACTGGGTGGTGCTGCTATGCATTATTTCCAGACTCTCTTCGGCTAATATTTTCGGCTTACTTCCTACCGGGTGCTACTAATTTCCACCATCTCTGCAGCCAGGAGAGAAGACACAGCTGCTATGCTCCCCAAATGCCAAGTAACGACGGCCGGCCACTCTGCACTGTTGGCCTCAGTACTTCATAGCTAATCCTTTAGTTTCCTCAGGGTGCACCTGCTGATTCAGAGCCAGTTTGCCCCCCAGAGCCTGCCGGAGAGACCCCAGCTCGCGGCGGGCAGGGGGAACGCTGGAACCCGAGGTCTGGAATCTCAGGTCTGAACCCGCCCATTCGGAGCCTGCAGTTCCAGTTCGCCCCGCAGCTCGTCAGTCTCCGTGCAGCGCTTGCCCTACGGCGACTTTCAGTCTCCCAGGCAACCACGTCAACTTCCTGCAGAAGGTGCGGTCCTCATTGACTAGAGTCTCCATTTCCGCCAAGTAACAAGGGCCAGGAGTTTTGCGATGTGGAGCAAGTGTCCGCTGCTGGGCTCACCCGCGCATTCCAAAGTCCGACTTCCCCAAGTCAAGAATCTGGCAGCTCCCTGGGGGCAGGCACCACTGGGAGGGACCTGAGGGCCAGGAAGGATCCGGGCTCAGCACTCCACAGGCTCGGACGAAGAAAAGCTAGGGGCTGCAAGACCACCTCCCCGTCGCCGCCAAGCTGGAGCTGGAAGCGGAGTTCCGTGGGGCCGGGGCCCAGGCTGCTGCTCGGCGGCTCCTCCAGGCCGCGGCCCCGGAACCTGAGCCGGAGGCGGTGACGGTGCCCCGGACAGGGAGTGCGCTGCGCTGGTTCACCACAGCGGTCCTGTATGCCGCCTTCCTGGGGATGGTGAGAGCTGGGGCCACAACCCTCCCGGCCCCGAGAGGTTCTCTTCAGAGAAAGTGGCCTTCCCAGTCGGAGTCTCTTGGCCCCCTGCGCACTGTCACCTTGGGTCTTTAGCCAATCCGCTTGGGGCTCAGTTTCCTCATCTAACACGCGGGCATGGTTGTAACCATGGGGGACTACTGTCAAGCGGGAATTTGATTTGCCTAGTATGTTTTCCAATGCAGCAAACCTTCCTTCATGTCCTTGTTTCAATGGGGAGACAAGAAAGGGGTTGGCCAATTCTGTAGCTAGTGCACCACCGCATGCCAAGTTTACACAGAAAAGTGATTTTCTCGATTTTCTCCTTCCTAATGGCCTGACCAAATTCAGCCAACTACTTAATTTTGTAGTTAGGAAATTGATCCCAGGGGGAAAGTGACTTTTTGGAATCACACAGCTAGTTGAATCACACAGCCATGAACATCTCTTACTCTGCCCACAATCCTGTTTTAATCAAAACCACCGTTTTTAATGTTATCATTCTTGGGGCAAAGTGCAATACTAGAAGTGCTTTCTTCCAAACCCTTGGGCTGCCCCTCAATTCAGTATTTATGGAAATGTTCCTCTTATCACTGAATAATTGTGATCTTGGGGAGTTGGAAGGGTGAGTCCCTTGAGAAGAGTTACTTCTGGTCACTTAGCATCTCAGCCTGAGCCAGTTGTTTCTTAGTATTTTGATTAAGGGGAGTAGGGGTGACAAAGAAAGAAATCATAGCAGATGTTTAGTGCAGCCCTCAGTATGTGCCATGTCTTATAAGTTCTTTGAATGCATGAAGTAGTTTTGATTTGAGCCAGTATTCTGACTTTTCTGTGTATGTATTGTTTGCTGTGCCCCTGTACTCATTCTGGTCATTAGTCCTGACTGTCCCTGATGGACAAGGGGCACCCCCAGGCTTTGGAGCAGAACCATTCTATTAGAATCAATTATTCTTGAAATGTAGATATTTAGAAACATGTTTTACTGGCCCAAGGAATTTCCTCTCAAAGCCAACTGTAATGCTTAGTTCTTACTAATAACTAATAAAAGGTTAGAGAAGTTAATTTTAGCAGTTACTTTGGGCAAAGAAATTGCCCTGAGCTGCACCTGAGTTGATAAGTTTCCAAATGCTCCACCCAGGAATGTGGCAGGTAATATCTATAGACAATAAGAAAGTGACATACAGAAATAGCTTGATTGGTTACTGCACATTTGCTCTATGAGCATACTCTCAGATTGCAGTTTATTGACATGTTGAGGTTTCCCAAATATACAGACAGCTTTAGGCCATATTTAATGAAACATTTACCTGCTCTTGGTCAGACTGTCAATTCTGAGAGATTGACTGAGAAAGCTTGAGCACTAACAGCACTTTCTGTCACCGACATAACTGACTGTTTCAGTCAGTCTATGGAATTCACAATTGACAATAAGAGTTGGATAGGGTTTTGGGGGGTTTTTTGGTTTTTTTTGTTTTTGGTGCCAGGGATCGAACTCAGGTCCTTGCGCTTGTGCAGCAGGCGAGGAAACCACTGAGCTAAATCTCCAGCCCAAGAGTTGGATGCTTCAAGCTTTTGTTGACCACTTGATGACAAAGGATGGTTGCATAGAAACATTTATGACTTGAGGCACCGTATATCAGGAAGATTTTAGAATGGCTCTCAGGAGATATTACTTAGATCTTGCTATCAGTGATACCAAGAGACTAAAGTACACTCCTTAACGGATGTCTCTATGAACCAAACTGATCAAAATCAAACCATCCAAAGATTATGCAATATCTAAAGAGAATTCAACACTATGTGAGCCTGCTTGGTCCTAGTCTTTGGTTGGGGAATGATAGTAATGAAGAACCATAGTTATCTGTAAAATGGCCTGATCTTTTGTAGTTAGGCTGGTGACACAAGTCATAGGAACCAGGAGACCCACTAAACATAAAAGATTATATAAAACCTTGGAATACCCAGGCCTGCTAACCATCATTTAGAATTCCTGGAAAGTGTTAGCTGCTCCCAAGAACGCATGTGTTCCTTTTCCTTGAGAAATTTCCTTAATGGTTCCATGACAGTGTCTAGAGAAATAACAGTATTATCAACATTTTTTTCATTTTTATTTTTGGCTTAGGAGAATTACCCATATAAGTAATCCCTAGATCTTTTGCATGTCCAGTGTACTCTTTCAGACATCACTCATTGGTTTTCTGTATTTGGTGGTGATTATGTTATGAAATGCAGGATACTATTTCCAGACTTCCAACAAGTATAAAAAGCAAAGAGTGGTGATTTTTAGAATATCAAGGAAAGCTTTCAACTCTTTCTTTGGGGTTTCCAGGGAACTTAATGGGAATATAAAGTAACCTTGACAGTAGAGAAAGTTTTTCCTGATTTGGAGGCATTAGCCCACAAATCCTACAGTTGCTCTGGTTTCTTGCTACAAAATTAGCCTTTACTAATGCCATCCACACATTATGGTCCCATAGATTTTCCTATAAGGAAAGGGGAGGGATTCGTATAGCAAATAATACAGTAGTTAGAAAAGGAGAGAAGATAAGACTTTCACAATGGCAGAGAAGTCTTGATCCTTTTTCTTTGGAAAGTTTTCCACGTCTATGATGTCACCTGCTTCTGGAGAGAAACATCTCTGGTCAGCTTTACCCTAAGGACCCAACAAATGTAGTTTCAAGAGATTGGCAAGGTCCCTTTGAGATGTGAGGTGTAGATTTAACACAGTGCTTTTTTTGCCACAAAGAGAAGCCTGATATCATCCCTTCCAGGAGGGTCAAGGGCAGTCATTTTTCTGGTGGTGTTTCCAAAAGACCCACTCTGGAAGATCTGTATCCTGAAAGTTCTGGTTGTCATCAGTTGGTGGGATATGAAAGGCTTCTTTTGCCTAGTGAAAATATATTTTAGCATAATGCATTAAAGCCTTGCACTACTAAGTTTATTGAAGTGGGAGATATATGCAGTGCTATCACTGGGGGCTTCCAACAACTATTTCACAAGGAATAAATCTGTGTTCTTCAGTAGGAGTGAATCACATTGCCATTAATTATAGTACCTTGACTAAGGCAATCCAGTTGATTCACTTAGCTTTGTTTAATACACTGTTGTGCTTTAAATAAGGCAAATACATCATTTAACTTTTATAATTTGTGCAGTGAAACTATCACTGGTGATTGCTACAGGAATGCTCCATAATAAAACACATTTTTAATAACTACCACGAATGTTATAACATCAGGCTTTCTGCATGGGGAAACTTCCATAAAGCCAGAAAATAGGTATCAAAGATGGGAAGTGAATGATATACATCTGTAAGTATTGAAATGATCCAGGTACTAGAAGTGTAGCACTTGAGGTTTTTATTGTCCTGCCAGAATTATGAGTTTGATGAAAATTTTGCAGTTTCATAATACTAACCCTATCAATGTTTTTTCATAATTTTGATCATTTCATGATGAGTCATGGAGTGCAGACTTTTAAATAGTGAAAGATATAAAATTTAGCAAGGACAAGGCAAGCTATCCAAGCTCTACATGAGTTCAGACTTAGCAGTGGATTTAGGTCTTAAAAATCCATTTCATTTCTCTAGTTCAGGTGCATAGTATTGTTTGGTAAATAGGTGATATGATAAGCAGTGACGCTTGGATCGTTGTTATGGAGCTCATTCAAATTGTGCAGCTTAATTTCTGCATTGGTTGACTTGGCATCAAAATCTAGCCAAGTCATTTCCTTAGTATTTAATTCACTTTAGTTGTGCTTGAATTGAATTATACATTGGCTTGATATTTATGATCCAGTCCATTTCTTTACTGAAGTTTGAGAATTCATACCTGGTCCAGTGCAGTGTTCTTAAAATTATCAGAAACCTGTACTTGAAAGTCTTTTCCATGAATGTCCTTGAACACCAATTGGTAGTTGCTCAGAAAAGTATCAGATTAAGCAGTTAATTGACTGAAAATGACAGTATTTTAAGTGGTCTTTCTTAATGATATGAGAAATCATTACAACCATGATACAATTTCCCAGAAAATGTGGTTATTTCTGAGGCAAACATTTTTTAAGTTAATAACTTAGCATTATGACTGATGGTGTTATACAAGGAGTGCATTACATACCATTTTAAACACATACTAATAGCACATTCACACAAATACAACTGAAAGAAATTTTGGCATTGCTTATTGTTTGACAAAGCTTGCAATTGAATACATCAAATATGTCCCATTTGTTTAATACCTCGTTTTTGGAAAAAGAGATTTCCTTTTCAAAAGACCTGTATAGGGGCTGAGGATTTAGCTCAGTGGCACTGCATCTGCCTCACAAGTACAAGGCCCTGAGTTCAATTCCCTGTACAAAAAAAAACAGACCAGTATAGGAAATCCCAAAATTAATTCAAGGTCATGAAAAGATTTAATTTAGAATTTGATTTTGAAATGCTCCCCAAAGCATCAAGTGTTTAAAACAAACACAACAAGATCACAGGTCAGTATATATATATTAGTCATTCTAAAATGATATTAACAGTTCAAAGGCAAATAACAAAAATTATGTCATTGGTGAATAACTTTAGCTCTTTTACTAGAGAGAACTCAGTTTCCTTAGTGATCACAAACCTAATAAAGATAAAATAAAGTACAGGAAATTATCTTGCCAAAGCACAAACCCATTGAGTCCTACACCAGTTATCTCACATGTGAGATAATCCTGCACAATTTTCTATGAAGGGTTGGCCAGTACTCCAACTTAGTAGAGATGTTTTACAATTCAATTTGGCAATGTCATAAACAGCCAGAAAAATATCACTTCTAGTACCTGCTGGATCATTTGAACACTTACAAATGGGAATTACTCACTTGCCACCTTCCATGCCTATTTTCTGGTTCTATAGATGTTTTCTCATATAGAAAAGGTGATACTGCAACAGTAGCTATGGCTACTTAAAATGTGTTTTATTATGGGGCATTCCTGTAGCACTCTCCAGTGATAGTGGCACTAGTTTCTCTGTACAAGTTGTAAAACATGAACCAGTGAAGGTGTAGAGAATCTACCCAGCAAGTGAACAGGCAGACAGAAAAAAGAAGTTACATACAAAAATAGCCTGATTAGTTGCATCTTAGTGCTTACCTTATAGGAAACAACATGCAACCAAAAGCCACAATAATCAAATAATTTTTTAAAAAATTGAGAGTTTTGAAAGAAAAGCAGTGAGCCTATGGCTCCAATAATACTTGTATTGTCATTGTACATTTTTTCCTTACTGGGGGCCTTAAAGTAATTTTCTGCATTTCATTGTAACCCACTCCCCACATTTTTGTAGTGGACATAAATTAGATGTCTATTATTTTGTTTGTAAATAAAAGCTCTTTTTAAATTTCAGGGAATGACTGTTGCTATACTGGGACCTACGTTTCAAGATTTGGCAAGAAATGTGAACCAAAATATGAGCAGTCTTTCTCAAATATTTGTGGGTCGTGCTTTGGGATATTTGGGTGGCTCTGTGATTGGTGGAATTCTTTTTGATTGTATAAGTCACTTTTTACTTTTGGGTAAGTAAACACCAATTTCACTTCGTTGACTTTCAGTGAGTTTTCCCCTTGGCTGTAAATAGGAAAAACATCAGCCTGCTGAAATGAGAAGTGTTAGGTGTCCTCCATGAAGCACGGCTTCCCTGCTGTCTCTCACCTTGGCAGTGAGAGGGAATCTGTGCTGGGCCCTCTGGAAACCAGTCCAGGGTCACACACTGGGTGTACAAAAGTCTGCTTATGAGGGTGGAAGGCAGATCTCTTGGGGTCACAGAGATCAGAATTAGGACCTGGAAACCACCCCAGCTCCATGGCCTCTGGATTAAACAAGAAGGGTCCAGGATGGTGAGGGACCAAAGAGGGCTCCATTTTTATCCCTGCAGTCCTGTACCAGTGATGACCCAAGGCAACCCTATATCCCCCAGACATCAAAGGCAAAGCTTTTAACATATATTTATTGAATAAAATAAAGAAAATTTAAGTTCATGGATTAACATGATAAAGTCCTTTCAAAGCAATGAGAAAATTTTATTCCTGATGAATAATTAATGTCTTGTTTCCATTGTGAGCTGCATATATACTTTTTTTACTGTGTTGGGGATTGAACCCAAAGCTTCATACATGCTACTTAAGCATTCTACAATTGAGTTACATTCCCAGTCCAACAATATATGTCTATATATCCCTCAATATTTCCCAAACTAATTCATTTAAAGTTTTACTACAAAATACCATACCAATTATATTCTTTTTTGTCTTTTTACATTGATGACTCATATCTAAAATTCCCTTAAGAGGCTGTACATGTGAAATATTTAAGTAAATAATTTTTGCCCTCTGTCTTTTGCTGTAAAACTTTTCTTCATGATATAACTTAGTTTGATTAGTAGCAGTGCTCGAATCATTTTCATGTCATAGTAATTCATATTTATAGTCCATAAAACCTATAGAAGATTTAGATGAAATAACCACTTGTAGAATCTGCAATTCTCATCTCAAGATAACTTGGTTTTAATTTGGGCTTATTTTATATTCTTAGAAGTTTTTATTTTAACTTGACGCATGACTCTGCATGAATACTATTTGATAGAGTTGAGTTTATTACCTTTCTTTCCAGGGGTGTCACTATTGGCTACCACACTTGGTCTTTATCTCATTCCCTTTTGCAAGAGAGCAGTATTACTGAATGTCATGATGTCTGTCTTTGGTGTTTCATTTGGCACTATGGATACAGGTAAGTGAATCTCTCCAGTGTCATCTCTGGAATTGGGACACTACTGCTATGAAAAGTGGAACACAATGTGTCAAATTGTCATTTCCAATGCTCTTGAAAAGACACAGACTTACTGAGTTGGTAATAGTGTCACCTCATCAGAGCACCCCTCCTAATAGCTCCTCTTTTGTCAGTTAGGCACTGAATTTGAGTAGACAGCTACAAAGTGTAGTTAAAAGATTGTGTCATGGGAAATTATTAGTATACAATATCCGAACAGGGAAGGACTCCCTCTGGTTCATAATTACAGTACAGTGAACAGACTTTCATTTCAGGAGAGAATTTTATCATTGTAATGTACAAAGAATTGATAGTTTAATAAATAGGAAACATTTTTTGGTTGTAAAAGCATAGAAACAGCCCTCCAATTTAAAATATACCCTAGTTATTAAGCTAAAGGAAATGCTGTGTGCACTACTTTCCTTTCTTTCCTTTTCTGTTCTTTTATCACTCAAAAGTTCCTGCTCTATTGCAGAAGAATTTCCATTATCATCTCTTTGGACACCTGCTTAATAACATAGGAATATTGGCTTACTGCCAAACCCACATTCCTAGTCTCTCTTCCATGCTCTAAAGTTGGTTGACAGGCTATAGAAATGTTTTATATTTCCGGCTCATTTTGGTGGTAAATATACAGTAAGGAACTACATGTTTCTCTGAAAATATCTGATTTTTTTAAAAACCCAAACATCTAAACATCTGGGGGAGGGGGGTGTTAGACAATGTAAATGCGGATGCTAAAAGGTGTCCTTAAATGGGCACAGCAGAGTCCTGAAGTATTCAGGTTCCTACATGTGTGTTTTGTATGAATCTATGTCTATGCATCTGTGTATCTATGTGTATATTTATATTTACAAAATGTGCTTGAAGTGACTACCAATTCCAACTACAGAAACCATTGGAAATTTGGCCAATATATGATGATAAAAGTTTGCCTCAAAATATATTTGAAAGATTTACAAATAAGTAGGTCTATAAATATTACTCTCTAGTCTGTTATTCATACTGTTTTGTAAAAAGCCTTGGCTGCTGTGTGTGTTTGTTAGAGGCAGTGGTTTGCCACTTGCAGACTTCAATGTATGTACCATATATGAGATGTTATAATACATAGTTCTCTGATGACAGTGAGTTAGAATTCCTTATACACAGAACTGAATAGGTGTAATGTTTGATAATTAAGAACATCACAAAACTGCTTCATGTAATACAGACTCATCTTCCCTCTAATAGTAATAAACTTTTAAATTTTTATTTATTTATTTATTTTTTACTAAGCTACTGTGTATAGCTTAAATTGTTTCCTGCATTTTTCATTGGTAGGTGTGAATGTCCTTATCTTGGCTCTATGGGGGGACAAAGGAGCCCCACATATGCAGGCCCTGCACTTCAGTTTTGCCTTGGGTGCCTTTTTGGCTCCTCTTCTGGCAAAATTGGCCTTGGGAACAACACTGTCCACGGAAAACCACACAGAGCCTGACCTTCACCCTCCAGCCCTCAGCCAATCACCTGAAGCAAACCCAGGCCCTCTGTTTGCAGCACCTGATGACTTGAACTTACTGTGGGCTTATGCTTCTGTCGGCATGTACATTTTTGTAGTTTCTGTCTTCCTGTTTGCTCTGTTTTTTAAGACACAGTCAAAGCATGAAAACCCAACAGCATCTGCTCAGGTATCTCGAAGAGCTAAATATCACAAGGCCCTGCTCTGTCTCCTTTTTATGTTCTTCTTTTTTTATGTTGGAGCTGAGATAACCTACGGCTCTTACATTTTCTCATTTGCAACCACCCATGTTGGCATGGAAGAAAGTGAAGCAGCTGGGTTGAACTCCATCTTCTGGGGGACCTTTGCAGCCTGCAGGGGCCTAGCAATCTTCTTTGCTACATGTTTACAGCCTGGAACCATGATTGTGTTGAGCAACATTGGCAGCCTGGTCTCATCTTTATTTCTGGTGCTTTTTAACAAGAGCCCACTTTGTCTCTGGATAGCAACTTCAGTGTATGGGGCCTCAATGGCCACCACCTTTCCCAGTGGTATTTCTTGGCTTGAGCAGTACACAAACATAAGTGGGAAATCTGCAGCTTTTTTTGTCATTGGTGGTGCTCTTGGAGAAATGGCTATTCCTGCAGTAATTGGAATTCTTCAAGGACATTACCCAGGTTTGCCAGTAGTTCTGTACACCTGTTTGGGGTCAGCAATATTCACTACTATATTGTTTCCTGTGATGTATAAATTAGCCACCTTGCCTCTGGATCTTCAGCAGAAAGAAAACAGATGTGAAGACCAGAAAGGTTTGCCCTCTAGTTCTGAGCTATAAGGAAGAGAATGAAGGGAAAGATGTAGAAGAATAAAATGAGATGGATTTGAAGTGATTGAAGAAAATTATACAGTTAGGCTTTCTTTAACACAGACTTGTAGAAATATTTTGGTGGAGCCTATAGCTGAAGTATTCAGCAGTTCATCTCAGATTTGATGAAATTTGAGTCTTCTCTAGTTATTACTGGTAATTTCCCTGTGAATCACCTTGTCAGAAACCGGGACACAATGTACTACTTTCTGATTTCATTGATTAATTGCCATTTCTAAGAAGCCATTCAGAGCTGAGGATTTAGTAGATTTTCAGCATACTCCGAGGATCAGATTTCTAGATGAAATACAGATTGCTTCCACTTTTCCACTATCATGCAAAATATGTGAACATAAGTATACAAATAACTTTTCTATACTGTTTTCAATTCTTTTGGAGTATATGCACATAAGCATGTCATGTGATAAATCTTTAATGTATTTTTATTATCCAACTTTATTATTGTGAGTTAGTCCTAGTTTATCCATAACATACCAACTATAGGAAAAGGCTAGAGAAGCACATAGTTTTTAAAAATATTGTTTCAAACTAGGTAGGCATATGGCCCTTTACAGCTTACTCAGTATCACCCACACAATGAGGAAATGAACTCAAAGATAGCTTATATCAGGCATCTACCTCAGACTTTTCTTACTTCTGCTTCTAGTTTTTGGTCTGTGATAGGTCTCCCACTACCTCAGCAGCTATTATGTATAGTAGCTGCCCTCTTCCTATGGTGCCTTGCCCCTTCCCCTGTGTGACGTCATGCCAAGATGGCTGCTCCCACCAAAGAACAAACCCTTCTTCCCAGCATGCCCCTGGTCCCACCTAGAGAGTAACCTAATACTCGCTCACCTCCTACCACCTAGTAATGTCACCAGCTCCTCCACTCCCTGATCACTACCTCACTCAACCCCGCCTCAGCCCCTACAAACCCCACCCCTGTCTCTATAAAAGACTCTCCCTGCCCCAGCCATGTTGCTTTTGTCTCTCCTTTGTTCAGAGACAGCCCAGCAGATCTATTCCCCTAATAAAGGCTTGCTGTGGCCTGGTCTGGTCATGGTCTTCAGCCCTTTTACCTGAGAGTCTGTATTTTAGCAAGTGTTTAAGATTTACCTGTGCTACCACTGCACTCTAAGTATTAATGATGTCCTTTTCTTTGAAGTACAGTACCAAAATATCATTATTATGTTTTGGGGCTTTGATCCCAATTTTGGGCTAAATTAATAGTTCACTGTCTTGTCTTCCTTTGTTTACAAAGCTAGAGGGCATGCCTTGGAATGTCTGATTTAGGTCCTCTGCCTCAGAAGTAGATGGTATATGGTCAGGGAACCTGGAGCTTGGCTAGTCTATAGCTCTCCTGGCATCTCTGCTCCTCTATGTGACTCTTCTGCCTTCCTAACCCTCCTAGAAGGAATTCTAGAAGGAATCTGTGTGACCCAAGTAGATTCTATTGCCCTATTGGGCCTAGTGCAAGGAGTTGTATCAGCATATGGGTGGGTTTGACTTGGCTTGATTCTGTTGCTCTCTTCCAGGTTTGGCCACCTCTGCCCCAACTGCCCCAACTGATAGGGTGATGGGGAGATTTAAAATCCAAAGGGAACTTCCACTGTCATCTCTATACAAGGACAGTACTAGACTTAGTGAATACTGCTAATGGGTGCTGAATTGGAACGGCAGGCACTGAGACTGACAGCATAGGATGCTCTTTGCAACTGGAATAGCAAAACAAACTCCCAGAAAATTATAGACTTTTTGCAGAGTCTAGTAAACTTGTTAGTGAACTGCTTTTCAAGCGGTGTAAGTCTCATCCTATTAGGGTAGAATTTATACTTGAATCAGCTATTTGCAGAGATGCTAGTACAATCCTAAACTCTGTGTACTAGAAAGTATCTCAGTCCATGCATTTCAGTCATTTAACATATGTTTACTGACCATTTATCATGTTCACCAATCAGTGCCCAGGAATAAAACAGGACAGGTGAGATCCTTCATTTCACAGTGCTCATGTTTTACACTTTCAAGTAAGATTTGCTAGCCACCATTCTATTTGCTGAAGACCTAGTGGAGCATTTTGTAATCATTTCTATGTAGTGCCAGCAAAGTAAAGGAGCTGAGCTCTCTTGGTCCCTTGATGTGTGTTTGTGTATGCATATTTCCAGATGTCTTTGGTGACTTCTTTAACTTATACAGTAATTTGATGATAATAATAATTAGCCTTGTGCCAATAAGGTTAATATGGCTAAAGCCTGCCAAAGAAGCCTACAGCAATGGAGTCTGACACGAGTGTTAGGATTTTCTCATAACAGCCAGTGGGCACATTTTGTGGTTGATCTGGATCTTGGGTTACAGCTCCCAACATCGAGGTGTGGGGCTGTGTGATTCAAAAGTTAATTACTCCCCTAGGTTCTGTTGTAAATTTGGTGGTTGGAGTGTGTTTGCCTCGGGACAATGGACAATCAGTAATAGGGCGAGATTACTCAGCCATCTGTTTGCCCTAAAACCAAATGTCCCGGGGCCCAGTATCTATAGGACAATCTGTAAATGTGCTGACTATCCACACAGGGTGGTCGTGACTATTAGTCAGGATGTCTGCTGACCATCAGCATGTGACAGTGAGCCACTAACCTTTGTTCGTTTCTTTCTGTAAATCTACATGTTACCCCCCCCCCCTCAACCCCCTATAAAACAGCCTCGGACTCTGAGCCAGTGGCCTCTCTGAGCTATTTTGCTTCGGGAGTGACGTCTGGCCAGACTAATAAAGGTCTGTTTTCCCAACATGGCCTGTGTGTTCCTTCCCGGGTGGTCCTCGCCATAGTCAGCTCCTTGGAGCATTTGGTAAGGCCTTGGTCTTACATTCTGGAGGCACTGCTGGGATCCCCGGGTGTGCTCCACTTCAGCTCCTTGGAGCATTTGGTAAGGCCCTTGGCCTTACATTCTGGAGGCACCGCTGGGATCCCTGGGTGTGCTTCACTATAGTCAGCTTCTCGGAGCATTTGGTAAGGCCCTTGGTCTTACAGAGGGTAACTGAGCAGGTTCTCAGCTCTCAGCTCTTTCCCTAATCGCTTCCAGAAGACTGAGGTCTAACACCCTTTGGGCCTTTACCTGGTTGAAATATGACTCAGAGACACAAGTATTTCAGAAAGGAAAAGTTTACCTGCAAGGACAACAAGAGAAGGCCTATCTTGCCAAGTGAGAAAATATAATGTTCAAAGGAAAAAAAATTTAAAACTGCTAAGATTTCTGAGTTTGCATTAGTCTGTACATGATGGAAAGACAGCAAGTGCCTCACGTGATCATCATCTTCACAAAGGTCACAACAAATGTCACATGTAGTTCAGCAAAAATCATGGCCAAAATTGCTTTTGCTAGGGAGCCAAGTTGTTTTTTTTTTAAGAGTAGGAAAAATGTACTGGGAGAAAGAAAGCTTCTGTCTAAGAGAGACAGAAGGAGGACTAGAAAGTGGCTTGCCTGCCCACCCCACTTTCAAAGATGTTTTATACAGCAAAGCCATGTGGTGAGGCAGGTACAAAGTGGGACAAAACTGTAAGACCCAGTGGAAATTTACAAGGTGGGCATGAGGTGGAACAAAACCATGATCAGCCAATAAGATTACAAGTACAGTCACCCAGTTAATACTGATTAAATGGGGGTCAAATGGGGAAGCAAGTCACATAGCAAGCATACAAGGATTTTCAGTAAGGGTGGGTCAGGGATATTTCCTGGAAAGGCTGAGTTAAGACCTTGGCCCCCCACCCAGGTGGGTGACACCTATTTAGAATATCAATCACTGCTATTCATCCTACATGGGTGTGGTAGTTTCTCTCCTTTTATAATTTTGGCCTTCAGTGAATGTGTCTTCACTGGGGAGCCAAATTTTATGGGAAATGTTCAAGGTTTTTTAGATCACAATCAGTTAGATAAGCCTATAATTTTTGTTTTATCTTGGGGTGCAAAGTGCTTTGTTCCTGTGATATAGGAAGTACGTAGTGATATTGCAGCAGGGCAAAGTGACATTTTGATTCCACAGAATCCATAAGGTACAGGAGAAAGATGGACTCAATGCAGAAAGTTGATTGTAAGATACATTCTTGTTTCATTTAGGTGATAAGCCTTTGCCTGTGTGTGGGTGAGTGTGTGTGTGTGTGTGTGTGTGTGTGTGTGTGTGTGTGGTGTTTTAAACTCTGGCTGCTCTTAAAATCACATGACAGTGTTTTAAAACTACCCAGGCCTGGTCATTTTACTTCAATACCAATTAAATTGGTTTGCAGGGAAGTGTAAGTATTGACATTTTAAAAGTTATCCAGGTTTAAGTGCAATTCTCAGCCCACGCTGAAAGTCATTGCCTCTGACGATGAAAAAATTGGACCTTTTGGTGGTCAGAGGGATTTTTTAGGCTATTGGCAGCTTGGTTAAGTCCTGCTGCTTCTTAAGTGATTTGTACTCTTTGTATCTTCTCTGAAGGAGAAGCCAAGAGGAAGAGGTCTCCTGTTTTCTGTTACATCCACTGATGCTTGGCTGAAGAAAGTGGATAATCAACACTGTTGTTGATTACAAATCCTGCCAAATACACCAGGCCCAGCCTTCTACATAGCTTCTCACTAAACAGTTTTGATTTTTTTTTTTTTTTTTTGGTACCGGAGATCGAACTCGGGTCCTTGCGCTTGCGCAGCAGGCGGTGAAACCACTGAGCTAAATGCCCAGCCCAACAGTTTTGATTTTTAAAAACAGGAGTACCCTTGTAGATTTATTACAGCTGAATATAAGTGTATCCACTGTTTACATGGCTTGTACAAGTGCCTGTTTGAATAAAATATCTAAATAAACTGATAATGGTTAAGGTAAGATTTTTGTGCCATCAGTAGTTTCTTTGATGTTTAAAAATGAGCTTGCAATCTGTCCTTCAGAAATTAGGCAAGAATATTTTCAGATTTTAAATTTTAGTGTGCCCATATTTTTGTGATGGGTTCCTAAAATGGGAGTTTTTTCCCACAATTGTTTTGGAAAAGACATCTAACAGGTCTGGGGATTTAGCTCAGTGGTTCTGCCGTCTCCCTTGCAAGCGTAAGGTCCTGAGTTTGATCTCTGGTACCCCACCCCCCAAAAAATGACATCTAATATCTTTGGCCTTGCAGCTTCTCTCAAGTTTGTGATCTAATTTCTAAACTTACCAGTCTCTTGATGAAGTTATTTCTAGCTGATATCTTAGTAAGTATATTATTTAGTAATAATTTCCTAATGGAAGTAATTACAGATGTTTCTATTTCAGAGTGCAAAGGAGATTTTCCAAGTGGTACATCATGTAGATATGGGACCCTTTTCCTTATTCCCCTTCTCCACAAGGCCCAGGAACTGAATGAAAGCCTTTCATCAGTGACCATGGGCCTGTTTCTCGAATTTGTAAAAGCAGAATAGTGATAATTTGGGATTAATGTGTACATCTTTTCCCTCCCTACTCCTCTTTACACCTTATGTCTTGGGGAAAAGTTTTGCTATTTTGTTTAGTTGGGGTTTTTGGTGGTATTAGGGATTGTGCTCAGGGTCTCTTGCCTTCTAGACAAGGAACTATCACTAAGCTACATCCCCATCCTTTAAAAAAATTTTTATTTAGGACAGAGTCTCACTAAATTGTTCAGGCTAGCCTTAAAGTTGCAATCCGCCTGTCTAAACCTCCTGAGGAGCTGGGATTACAGGTATGTAATCCATACCTGGCTGTGAAAAGACACTATTAAAATGTGGTTAAATTGAAGCTGAGAGAAACTGATCACACATTCCTTGACTTATCTTAACACTGTTATAATAAATGAAATTCTAGGTGTCCTTGGCAGCTACCATATCTGCTTTGAGTGCCCTGTGCACTCTGCCCAGGGCAGGGAGCCTTCTTTGCCTTTGCTTCATGCTCTGGTCTCTGGGAAAAGCTTGGCCTTTCTTGACAGATCCTGTTAGAAAGCTGTAGCTCTAAGCAGGGATAGAGAGGACTTCAAACTCCTAACTATAACAGTATTGGATAGACAAGCCTCTTCAATCTTCCCACAAGAAAGCAGGAGACACTTGTATTTCACCTTCATGGATTTGGTTGAGCACGGGGTGGATTTGTGGCCATGTTCTGATTATACTACTCATTGCAAGAGGCTCCATGGTCTCAGGAGGATGGAACACTACACTGAGATTCACAAGGATAGACCTGAGGACTGGCTGGGCCCCTGGAATGGTGTTTTTGTGGTTGTTCACTACAACTGCCATATTTTTAATGAAAGTAAACTTTTTAAATGTAATTAAGATACAATTCTTAAGCTTCCTTTTACCAATATTTTTTACCTCCCCAATGTGCCTAATTATCATGCTATATATATCAAGTTGAAGTCATCATTGGAGCCTGAAAACAGGAACTGTCCAGTTAAGTAGGAGGAAGGTCCATAAAAATATATGTGAGCTAGAATCAGTATGTTAGAATACTCTTCCTGCACACACTTGGAACACAGTCTGGATGTTTTTCACCAACTCCTTGAATCCACAAGCATCTTAATGAGGCAGATGGTATTAGTACTATTTTATACATGAAGATATATGCTTGGGTACTTTTTTTACCTCAGTCTTACAGTCAGGAGAAATGGAGCAAAAATTCACATTTAAACTGTATGACTCCAAAGCCCATCCTCTTTCACTAAGCTACTCTACCCCTTTATTGACTGTTGCAATATGTACAGTGACCTTTTCCCTTTCTTACACTTGGCCGGCTGAAATCTGGCTTCAGTTTCCACCCGTTTCAGAACTGCTAATAGCTCCAGTGACAATTCTGGTTGCCAGTCCCCAGGGAAATTTTTAAACCTTTAATTTATGCAGTCATTTACGTATCAATAACTGGACTGAGTGCATAGGCCACACCTTGCCCTGGTGCTGGGATATCTTGGGAAGCAAATCAAACATGATCTCTGACCTCCTGATTGTAGAGCCCGATGGACCAATCACAGTAGGCCAATCAGTAGGAGCCCAGTTCATCTGAGCAAGCAAGGCCTCTAAACCAGATTTAAAAGGCAACACTAAAAGAACTAATTTGTTTTTTGTTTCTTTGGATTCTTTGTTCATCCTCTGCTCCCGCATAAAGCCAACCACTTCTATGCACCTCATCCAAACTCCCAGTCTGTATTACAAAGCCAGTTCGATCTTTAAATTTGTTGTAATTTAACCTCTTCACAGACAGGAAGCCTGATTTTAGAAATATATAACGAAATAAAACTGGCAGGACTTGGTGATAAAACTGCAGAGACTGAAGGACATCATAGCAGAATCTCAGCTGTAGCTCCCTCAGCCTCAAGCGCGGGTCCAGCTGCCCCAGTGGGTTAAGTCCAGAGGCAGGCACGGGTGCCCTGTGCGCTACACTTGTGCCTGCCAAAGTCCTGCTTCCCGGTCCCCCTCCGGGCGGTGCCTGGTGAGCTGGCGCCTTTGTGGACAGTCGGGACTCAAAGGGCGGGGTCAGATTCAGTTCCGAACAGCTGCGGCGCCGTTGTAAAAATGACCCTAACGAATGCACGTTGGAGCCGCCAAGCTGGAGCTGGAACTGGAGTTCCGTGGGGCAGGGGCCCCGGCTGCTGCGCAGCGGCTCCTCCAGGCCGCGGCCCCGGCGGAGAACGAGCCGCAGGCGGGGTCGGGCCCCAGGCCAAGCGCCCGGGCTGAGAGCGTGCTGCGCTGGCTCACCACCGCCGTCCTGTACGCCGCCTTCCTGGGGCTGGTAAGCAGCGGGCAGGCGCCTGCGGGGGATCTGACCTTCCCCTTTGGAGTCTCTCCTTGGACCCTGCACGTTGAGCGACCTTGAGTGCATTAAACTAATTGGCCAAGGCCTCAGTTTCGTCTTCTGGAAATCGGACACAGTTCTGATCGTGGAGGGTCCTCATCCAGTGTGAAACTGATTTCCCTAATGTGTTGTCCTACTTCAACAAACCTTTCTGTCTCCTGGGTGTGCTGGGAGACACAAGAGGGATTGCCCAGGACTTTAGCGGCTCCCACCCACGCATTCATGCACCAATTTACTGCACTGAAAGCTACTGTTTGGAATTTATTGTTCTGGGTGGACTGACCAAATTCAAGCAGTTTTTAATTTTGCAAATGGGGAAGTAGCCCCAGAGAAGAAATTGACTTTTCCGGATGATACAGTTAGTTAATGCTAGAGCCAGGAACATCTTTTACTCTGCCCACAATCCTGTTTAAGTCCAGCCTTCAGAAACTGAAGTGTTTTGTTTGTTTTTGTTTTCATCAAATTCCAGGGCCACAAGTGCCTTTTACCAAACTCTTTTTGCCAAATTTGTTAATTTTAAATCTTGCAGGGTTGGGAGATCCAGTCTTGAGGATAGACACTCTTCCCTTAGCATCTCAGAGAATCTGAGCCCCAGTTGTTTATTATAGACTATTTGATGGGGGAGAGGATAAGAAAGGTATCACTTCAGAGGCTTAGTGAGCCCTGCTTGTGTGCCAAGTCTTCTAAGTCCTTTGAAGGCATAAAGTAATTTGATTAGAGCCATATCCAGGCTTCTGTTGTAAAGATGCTTGCGGTGGGCTTGTGCACACCATGTTCCTTAGTGTGGAACTTCTGTGTCTTAGACAGGAGGTGCACCCTACTTTTGGAGCAGAACAGTGCAATTAGAATCAATTATTATTGAAACAGAGATTAGACACATTTTTCTTAAAGGATATAACAAATTCCCTCCGAAAATGAACCAGAACCCTCTGTTCTTTCTAACATATTTCCTAGTAAAATTTTTATTGTTAATAGCCTTCTACCCATGTGTGTGTTTGTAGAATTCCTTTCTCTAAGGAATTTTTTTGTTGGTGTTTTTAGTACCGGGATCTAACTTGGGTCCTTGCGCTTTTGGGGCAGGCAGCGGAAGTGCTGAGCTAAATCCTCGGCCCTCTAAGGAATCTTTATAGACAATAGTCCCAATTGGTTTTTTTCCATTGGAAATGTAGATTTGGAAATGTAGATTTTAAAACATTCAAATTGTTTACCTCTTACATGTATTGGCTATGTGTAGTTAAAAGGAAGGACTCCATGTGTACCAGAAATATTGCTGTTTTAATATGCAATATAAAAAAAAGTTGATATTTTGATAATTTAATTTTGGGGGAGGGTACCAGGGATCAAACTCAGGACCTTGCTCTTTCCAGGCAGACAGCAGAACCACTGAGCTAAATCCCCAGCCCGATAATTTAAATTTTAACATTTAAATTTGTTATTCATATATGTAGTATATTTCAAAATACAGTACAGTGGACCCTTGAATTACAAACTCAATTTGTTTACAAGGGCTGGTTGTAACTCAGGTTGGTCAATTGAAGGCTCAAGCTCCTCTATACAGCCTTCAAAGTCTTTCCCCTGTATACAGGCAGATCTCAGTGTCCTCAGAGAGACACTGGCCCAGGATTTCTCAACCTCACACAGGAAATGATGTTGTAATGTTCCTTCCAGAACTCTTTAAGGGTTAAATCTATCTAAGACTATCTGGAAGCACAAATGGCTGGCATTCGGTTTATAACTCAAGACTTTGGTCATAAGTTAAAACTAAAATTCTATTCATAACCCAAGTTGTTTGTATGTCAGACCGATCGTAACTCTAGGGTCCTTTGTATTTTCAGAGGTTTAGTTATCTCTTACTAACGATTAAAGTAGAATAGTCTTCTAAGGTGTTGTTCCAAAATTAAACAGAATTGCAACAAAAACCCAGAAGAACCTTTTTCTTTTACTTGAGAATGAAGAATGCAGGGAAAATCATAGAAGTCCATAGTAATAATACCTCTGTGCCTTTTTTCTGACTGTGGGACTTAGAGTAATTCCCTACATTACTTTGTAATCCCTCCTTCCACCTTGTTTGTTTGTTTGTTTGCTTGTTTTAATAGCAGAATAAGTTACCATTTACATGGACATCATTTTAACAGTTGTAAGTAAAAAAGGTTTTGTCTTTTTAAATTCTAGGGAATGAATGCTGGTATACTGGGACCTACATTTCAAGATTTGGCAACAAATGTAAACCGAAATATCAGTGGTCTTTCTCTAATTTTTGTGGGCCGGGCCTCTGGAGTCTTGTGTGGCTCTATGATTGGCGGAATTCTTTTTGAATATATGAATCATGTATTACTTTTGGGTAAGGAAACACTGTTTTCCCCTTTGTGACTGTAAATGTATTTACAATGTGGCTTTAAATATTGCAAATAGCTTTTTTTTTTTGGTACCGGGGGTGGAACTCGAGACCTTGTGCTTATGAGGCAGGCGGCAGAACCACTGAGCTAAATCCCCGGCCCAATGTGGCTTTGAATATGAGAAACAACAGATTTCAGAATGGCTAGCAACTGAAATATGTGTCTTAGGCAGGCTCTGAGAATCTGGGTTCCCTGCTGTCACCTTGGCAGTGCAAGGGAATCTGAGCTGGGCCCTCTGGAAACAGTTCTGCAGGTGTGTGTGTGTGTGTATGTGTGTGTGTCCAATCCTAAGCTTTCCCCACCCTCACTGCAGTTAAGACACCACTCCAGGGTCACACACTGGAGATCCAAAGCTCTGCTTAGAAGAGGAAAGGGCAGACCTCAGGCCATAGCAATCAGAATGAGTTCTGGAGCCTTCCAGGGTCTGTGGCTTCTGTATTGAAAATGACAGTGAGTGGGCCCAGTGACAGTGAGTGGGCTGATGTAGTCCCTGCTGTCTCATATCAGTGATAACCCCCGAATGCTCTTCCTTGCCTTGGACATAGCTGGTAAAGCATTTTTAACACACCCTATTGGGGGGGAGCAGGTACCGGGATTGAACTCAGGATCTGCTTGCAAGGCAGGTGCAGTGCTGCTGAGTTAAATCCCCAGCCCACACTCTTTTTTAAAAAAAATAAATTGATATTGTAAAATAAAATTTAGATTTAATGTGATAAAATACCTTTGGAACCAATGAAAATAACTTGTTGCTGATGAGTAATAAACAATATTTCTTACTTTCAAAGTTGACTGGGAGAATATATTTCTTGTGTTTTCCTTCCTATTCCTGAAATTAATTTATATAGTAAACTTTTACAATACACTACTATACTGAGTACATTTTCTTTTTACCTTTTTACATTAATTCTTACATAAAAATGCCTTTTGGTTCTTAACAGTTGTTATGGCTTCTGTCTAGATGTCCCCCCAAAGCCTCATGCTTTCATAGGTGGAGCTTTTTGGAGGTGGCTATATCTAGGGTGTGTGATGCTAGGATTAAGGATGCAATGCTGGGATTAATTCATGGTTTCATGTTAGGTTTAAGGCTTCCCCACATTGGGTGTGAGTGCTACCTGCCTTAAGGGTGGGTAATCTGGATAGGATATAAGGGTCAGAAAGACAGTCACTGCTTGCCACTTGCTGCTGCTTCACTACTTCAACGCTTTGTTGCCTTCTTCCCACCATGAACTATCCTCTGTGATGCCCCTCTGCTACGCCACCTTATTTTGGAGCTACCTATGAATTTAAAGCTCTACAAACTGTGAGCTACAATAAACCTTTCGTCCTTTAACTTTGGGTGTTGGGTATTTTGTCTCAGCAACAAGAAAAGTAACTAAGACAAATGTGAAACATTTAAGTAAATAATTTTTGGCCTGTTTCTTCTTGTTATAAAACTTAGTAGTATAATTTTTGACTTATTACTAGGGCAATAGTTATAATAGTAATAATAATTTATATCACCATAAAACTTATATAAGAATCAGATAGTCTAACTACTTGTAGAAGCCCCAACTGTAATCTTCTCATGATTACTCAGCTTTAATTGAAACTTATTTTGCATTTTTGGAAGGTTTTATGATGCTGATGTTACTTGTGACTCCACATGAATACTGCTATGGGGGGGGGGTGTTGTTTTGTGTTCCTCAGAATAGACCAGGGCCTTAAGATGCTCTATTGCTGAACCACACCACCAGCTGCTGAATATTGTTTTTTATAGCTGAATTTCACCTTTTCTTCTCAGGGGTTTCAATGTTGACGACCACAGTTGGCCTTTACCTCATTCCTTTTTGCAAGACAGCAGTATTACTGATTGTTGTGATCTCCGTCTTTGGTGTTGCATTTGGGATTCTGGATACAGGTTAGTGAATCTTCAGTGCCATCTCTGGGAGTGTGGATTTGGTACTAGAAAAATAATTTACAAAGTTCATGAAATGACTTGAACTTCCTGATTTGTTCATGGGTTGCCCAGTGAGAGCCACCCTTCTGGCAGCTCCCCTTCTTGCCAATCAAGGCACCAGATTTTGAGCAGCCAACTCTGAAGTGAACTTAAGGAATTTTGTTCTATGGGAGATGGTTGATTTACAGTATCAACACAGGGAATGACCCCTCCTGTGGGTAATTACAGTACAGGCAAGCGGGCTTTCATTTCAGGGAAGAATTTAATGATTGTAATATTAGAGAAAATGATGGTCTAATGGTATAGAACAAGTTTCAAATTACTGGTTAGCAGTGAAAGCATAGGAGCAGCCATCCAAAGTAGAATGTACCCCTGATGTCTGAGGCAATACAAACCTGTGGTGTATATTACTGTCCTTGTATTCCTTTTGTATTATTTTCTTTCTCAACAATTTCTGTTTGTCCATAGTGGAGCTTCTCATTGTGTCATCATTTTTTGAAAGCCTGCTAAAAACATGCATGGTATGGATTATTGCCAAATCTAGATTTCTAGGCCTCTTGTTCCTGCTTAATATTATTTATACGTCACAGAAATATGTACTACTCCATCTTGCTTTAGTGTTAAATTTATAGGGTAGGATTAAGTGTGTATCTGAAAATATCTGATTTTTTTAAAAGATAGCCAAAGACCAAATGCTCTGGCTTTTCACTATGTAGGTGTTCAGTGTAGGTGCAGATGTTAAAATGTGTTCTTGATTCCTATAAAGGGCACAGTAGAGTCCTGAGTATTCAGATTCTTCAACATGTATTTGCCTCTGCCTTATACATAAATAACATCCTTAATTAGAATTTTCTACTAATTGTCAGTACAGAAAGCTTTGGAAACACAGCCACTATTTGATGATAAAATTTGCCTATTAAATTCATATATTTAAAATATTTAGAATTAAATAGGCCTATGAGAATTACTCCTGTGTATTACTATTATTGTTTTATAAAAAGCTATTGCTAATATGTCTGCTGTAAGAGGTAGTGGTTTACCAACTTGTACAATTCCATGCATACATATGAAATGTTATATGCAGAGTTCTCTTTTTATTTTGGTACTGGGGATAGAACTCAAGACCTTGTGCTTGTGAGGCAGGGGGCAGAGCCACTGAGCTAAATCCCGGCCCTGCAGAGTTCTTTAGTAGCAGTGGGTTAGAGATCCTTAAACCCAGAATTAACTCAGGTACAGTGTTTAATAATTGAGAACATTATAATCCTCATGGGATGGAAAAGACATCTGTCCTCTCTCTGATAGTAATAAACTTTTCTTTTCAACAAAGATTTTTGTATTTAACTTAAATTATTTCCCCATCTTTCATTGGTAGGTGCGAATGTCCTTATCTTGGCTCTATGGGGGGACAAAGGAGCCCCACATATGCAGGCCCTGCACTTCAGTTTTGCCTTGGGTGCCTTTTTGGCTCCTCTTCTGGCAAAATTGGCCTTGGGAACAACACTGTCCACGGAAAACCACACAGAGCCTGACCTTCATCCTCCAGCCCTCAACCAATCACCTGAAGCAAACCCAGGCCCTCTGTTTGCAGCACCTGATGACTTGAACTTACTGTGGGCTTATGCTTCTGTCGGCATGTACATTTTTGTAGTTTCTGTCTTCCTGTTTGCTCTGTTTTTTAAGACACAGTCAAAGCATGAAAACCCAACAGCATCTGCTCAGGTATCTCGAAGAGCTAAATATCACAAGGCCCTGCTCTGTCTCCTTTTTATGTTCTTCTTTTTTTATGTTGGAGCTGAGATAACCTACGGCTCTTACATTTTCTCATTTGCAACCACCCATGTTGGCATGGAAGAAAGTGAAGCAGCTGGGTTGAACTCCATCTTCTGGGGGACCTTTGCAGCCTGCAGGGGCCTAGCAATCTTCTTTGCTACATGTTTACAGCCTGGAACCATGATTGTGTTGAGCAACATTGGCAGCCTGGTCTCATCTTTATTTCTGGTGCTTTTTAACAAGAGCCCACTTTGTCTCTGGATAGCAACTTCAGTGTATGGGGCCTCAATGGCCACCACCTTTCCCAGTGGTATTTCTTGGCTTGAGCAGTACACAAGCATAAGTGGGAAATCTGCAGCTTTTTTTGTCATTGGTGCTTGTCTGGGAGACATGGTTATTCCTGCAGTAATTGGAATTCTTCAAGGACATTACCCAGATTTGCCAGTAGTTCTGTACACCTGTTTGGGGTCAGCAATATTCACTACTATATTGTTTCCTGTGATGTATAAATTAGCCACCTTGCCTCTGGATCACAGTGGAAAGAAAACAGAAAGAATGAGGACCGCAAAGCTTTGCTTTCCAGCCCTGAAGTAAATTACTACAAGGAAAATAATGAAGAGGAGGATGCAGATAAATGAAATGAAGTAGATTTTGAAGTGGTTGAAATGGATGATACAATGAGGCCTTCTATCAATCAGACATGTAGAAATATTTTTTGGAGCCAATAGTTAATGTATTCAACCAATTCTTCTCAAATGCAATGACATTTAATTTTTCTACAATGAATATTGGTGATTCCATCGCTAAGCACATTGTCAGAAAGCAGTACAACACTTAGAGCAGATGAATTACTTCTGGCTTCCTGGAATAACTGTCCCTTCTAAATAGCACAGTCAGATAAGAACTACAGCAGATTTTTAGCATGTTTTGGGAATAATAGTTTCCAGGTCCATTTACAGCAAAATTTTAACACGTTCTCCAATTCTTAGAGATTTTTACAAACTATCAAGAGGTATGATATAGTAGGATCTTGTAGGAAACTAGTGTTCAGCATTCGTCTTATTAGATAATATTTTATACCTCTATTTTGAGAGTATGCAAAGAAAGTATTTATATTTAGGGCTGGGGATTTAGCTCACTGGTGCCACTGCCTGCCTTGCAAGTGCAACGTCCGGAATTTGATCCCTGGTACCAAAAAAAAAAAGAAAGTAAGTAAGTATTTATATTTAAGAAAATGTGTAGCATCTAATAGAGCAAAATCACAAAGGAATAGAATGGATTTGCTGAGCAAATTATCAGGAATGTATATGCTGCTTGGGATTTGGGGAGAGTGATGTTTGAAGTAGTATCTTTGGAATTAGACACACATTTTAATTAACTGCTTTATCTTATTTGTATGGCTTCTCCAAAAAATGCTAATGACACTTTGATTTTTTTCATTGAAATAAAACATAGGAGGAGAACATAGAACAGGTCAAGAGACCTGACAATAAGATGTGACTGTGCCTTCTGTCTCTACACTGAGACACTTAAGCCTTGTTTAATCTCATCTCATGATCTATGATTCTAGAAATAAAAATTAGATAATTTAAAAATCAAGAAACCCGTCAACTTTTAAGTTTGTGCAAGATGACTGCTGGAAGTCTTCATTTCAAAATGAAAAGTGGAACCAAAAAATGATAAATTGTTTAAAAACATTCTATTGGTTATGAATACATACAAATTTAATATGGTTTATGTTTAATCATCATTTACATAATTGTGTAAAGAATATACTTTTCAGTGCTGCATTTGATCCATTCTGAAAAATGCATTTTCCAATATAGCATCTGTCGGGCCTGGGATTTAGCTCAGTGGCACCACGCCTGCCTCAAAAGTGCAAGTGCAAGGTCCTGAGTTCGATCCCCGGTTCCCCCCCCCCAAAAAAAGCCAATATAGCATCTGTCAAACAGGTATGTGTAACAATCAATGATCATTTAACATTGTGATAAATTAACAGTTGGCAGTTTTTCCTTATAAATATGTAAAAATGTTGCATTTGATAATCAGTGTCTTACATTTAGAGAAATAAAATAATTTATTCAATTGTGCAGATTAAACTATTTTTATAGACACTTTTAAGAGAAATGTTATCCTTTTTATTTTAAGACAAGGTTTCATTGTGTTGTGACGGCTGGTTTCAAATTCCTGGCCTCATACCATCTTCCCATCTCATCCTCCAGAATAGGTGGGCCTACAATCCTCTGCAAATACATTGGTCTGAAAAACTATTGTCGTGTGCTAATTTTCTCTCTGCTTCACATGGAATTTGGAGGCACTATTATGATTTTAGAACCTGTTTCAGAGTTAATATATTAGTAGATGGATCTTATGGACCTTTTACTTACCTTAGTACCAGGGCTCTTTCTCTTGGAATTTGAAAAACCTGAAAAACCAAAGTAAAGATGAGAAGGTAGCTTGGTGACCTGGCAGTTATGGACAGAGTACTTCATGTGAATTTGGGTGTGAGAGACTGCCCTGTTGATTATGCCCAAAGCAGACTATAAGCAGTGCAGGCTGTAAAGAGTTAATCTCACAACTGGCTTGTTTAAAAAAGTGACTCTGGGGGCCAGGATTTAGCTCAGTGGTTCTGCCACCTGCCTTGCAAGTGCAAGGTCCTGAGTTTGATCCCTGATACCAAAAAAAAAAGTGAGTTTGGCTAAAGCCTATGTGACTCATAGGAGCATTGCAATGGTGCACAGGTCAGTACCACCCACCTACCCGCACTCTCCCACCTCCGTCAACAGCCAGAGCAGAGCCTGTAAACCTGTAGGGCTTAATATTAGATAACATGTCAGCCAAGGTCAAAGTGACTGATACCCAAATTCCATTCCCAAATTTAAAACCACTGTAACTGAAAAGACAAGGTTAATTATTAACCACAATCTGTATCTTGTCTGTTCTGTTCCTAACACAAGAATGGTTTGTCTCTTCTCTTACAAGCCTTGCCTGCATCAGCATACATAACAACCATACATAGTCCCCTCAACCTAACTTAACAAATGATTGTGTCGCCAATAAATATCAGAGGTTCTGGCTGTTCAGGGTCTTTGCAGCTTGCAGCATTGACCATCCCAGTTCCCTTGATTTTTGTCTTTGTGTCTTTTTTCTCATCTTGCATCGTAGCACCAAGCAGGAGTTTGGGATCCTCTGCAGGGGTTCCTGGTTGTGATAAAACTAACATGGATGTCTTTTGATACACGACTGGCACTGATGAAAGTTTGTGTTTATCTCTTCCCATGTTTTAAGATGAACGACATCTAATTTCTCCTAACATTGGTTCATGTTAACAACCTAACAGCATGGAAAGGGCTGGCACAGAGAATGAAAATAAAAAGCCTGGGGCTCTATTTTTTAAACCATATTTCCCCCTTACACTGAGCTTAGAAAGTACCTCTGCTCCATTTACTAGTTTTCCTCAGGCTGTTGGGCTCTAACCAGTACTAGTAGTGTGGCTGTTAGAAGTCTTGATACAAGAGTAGATGCTTGTCAGCATCTACTTTAAGAGGGTAGAAGATGGAGCTGAGGGAAAGATCATGGTAATAAGAACATGACATAAAATTGGGAAATCTACACTGGAAAATTCACTTAGATTCCACACACCAAATGTGAATGAACATTGTGTTATGATTTTAACAAACTCCTAAATCATGTGATGTTGCTGGCCCATGTATAAAGGTTACCTTTTTGGAGTGTAGAATACTTTGCTTCCCATAGGAGTTTTCTTTGTTTTTGCTTTAAATTTTTAAAATTTGACCCTATTATATCATTGGAAGGATATAGAAGTTTATGTACCCTCTCCACAGACACCACACACTATGTACCATAATCCTGAATAAACACATTCCAAAGTGCTAAAACAGCTATCTTTAGTCTACTCCCTGTACCCTATGGACTCTTGGTTGCTTACTCCAAGTTCAAGGAGTATCTCTGTCAGGGAGCACAGTGGACACTGTTGAAAACATCAGAAGGCCACTGCCTTCTAATGCAGCACTGTCCAGTAAAAGTTGCTGGGATGATGGACATGTTCTTTATCTGCCCTGCCCAGTAATACTACTGGCCACATTTAAAGTGAATTTAGACCTCAAAAATATGGCTACTATGACATAACATGCATTTTTAATCTAAACTAAAATATTTTTCTTAGCTAGTGGCTGTTACACTGGTAGCCAAGTCCAAGAAACAAGGCATCAAATTATTAATCAGAGGTGTTTCAAGGAAGGGTTTATTTCCTGTGGACATGGAAATTAATCAGAAAGTTTATGTAGATATCTTGTTAGATGGCATATTATAACTTAAGGCCTTTGATAAAGGCTTGGTCTTATTAAGTCATGATGATAGAGAGTCGTAGTTACTGGTCTAAAAAAGAGGGGACATAAAAAGAACTCTCCACAATGAATGTAATCATTATTTACTGCAAACATGTACTAATAAAAATAAAAACTTGGAACCCCAATAACCCTCACAGATGGAGGAGGGGTCCACCTCACATGCAGTGCTTGACCCTGGACAACTCTGCACCTATAGATTCTGACCCCTGGCTGAGCCACCCACAAACTCCAGGCCTGATATGTGCTTTATTTCCCCTGGACACTGAGCAGCAGATGCACTGACCAAACTACCAACCTGAACAAAGAGAAGGCCAACACCCCAGGGAAAGAAGGTAACCCTGAGAGAGATGACATCTCCAAAGAGAAATAAGAGACTTGGCCCACAGTGCTCACCCCAAGAAAAGTCCATGGAGAAAATTACTACTTGTTGTATTCTAAGACTGCAAATCCTGGAAAGAACCCACTCATGTGAAAGGAAAATGAAGGAAAAAAAAAAGAATTGAAATGCGTTATATACACATCCCAATTCCCTATAGTGAATGTCATCATAATGTACTGCAAACATGTACTAATAAAACTCAAACATAAAAAAGAAACCACTCATCCAAAAACACAGAGGAATTTTTTTAATGGATTCAATTTTTTTCTTTTCTTTTTCTTTCATTGTTTTTTCCAGCTTTGGAGTTTAGTCTCCCTTTTTTCTTTTCTCCTTTTAACATTTTTTCCTTCTTATTTTTCTTGTTTTACTTTATTTTGATCTGTTTCTTTTTTTCTTCTTTTTCACATTCCTTTTTTCCTGTTACTGTTACCTAATACTATTAATTTCATTTTAATCCTCAATAGGGTCACCTGTCTAACTTTTCTCTCCTTCTCCTCATCTTCCATTGGTTGACATTTCAAATTTTAGTTTTATCTCCAGTTTAGCATCCCCTCTATCTTTACTAGTAGAACCATTAACCTTTGAGAATCTTTAGGTAGTTAACTCTATGCTATTACTGTTGAATACTGTTCTACTGTTAGTAGAGGAATAGTTGCTACATTTATTAGACATTTACTGTATATCAATGATCTTTCAGTGTTTACACTATAATTGTAGATCTTTTTTCTATGGTTAAGGTTGGTACATTATTGGTTTTTAGGATATGTCAATGTCTAGTTTGTCTTTGATACTGTTATTGGTGCTGATATTATTACCATAGCTAAGGTAAGAGTTGTTTCTGTTAATTGGTTTTCTCTGTATGCCAATATCTAGACTGTCTTTGTGTCATTAACAATATTATGGCCTGGGCCGGGGATTTAGCTCAGTAGTGCTGTGCCTGCCTGGCAAGCCAAAGGTCCTGAGTTTGATCCCCAGTAAAAAAAGAAAAAGAAAATAATACTATGGCCCATTCTGGGAGAACTGGGTACTGGGCCAAATATGCTACAGCCTCCCCACCCAAATAAACAGAGTTGGCTGAATTTTGGGACAGAGGCAAAGGCCTATAGTTAGCCATGCCCCAAGGGCATCACTAAAACATTAACTAAAGGTCTCTCTATTAGTAACAAAACCTTCCACTACATCAAACCACAAGCCCCAGCACAAAACACAAACACAAAAATAGAAACATTAAAGCACAAGGCAACAAATTGCCACCAGAAACTCCCAACTCCACCAAAGCTAATTCACAAGGCATGGAGGGGAGGAAATTTTAAAAAGTTATGAAGAATAACAAAAAAGGAAATAAGATCAATAAGATGCTTGATAAGGATGAAGGAGATACAACTAAACATATAATGGACCTAATAAATGAAAAAAAATCACTAAGTCTATCGAAGAGACTAGTAAATGTTAGTTGAACTGAACAAAACAATATGAAACATGAATGCCCAGCATAAAAAAAAATCAGACTCCATAAAAAGATACCAAGCAGAAATTCAGGAGATTAACAATTCTATCAAAGTATGGACAGTGCTGAGGATTTGGCTCAGTAGCACAGTGCCTGCCTCACAAACACAAGGTCCTGAGTTCAATCCCTGGTACCAACAAAACAAAACAAACAAACATAAAAAGTATGGACAGCAGATGTAACCAATATGAGAAGGAAGTGTCAGAACTAGAAAACAGGGCAGGTGTTGATGACCAGTTAATGAGATAACTTATAAAAATAAGAGAACATGAAAAAGTACATCCAACAGCTGCTAGATGACACAAAGAAGACTAGGATTAATTAGAATTAGTGAAGACTCAAAAGGCAGTACAAATGGCATTAAAAAAACTGTTTACTGAAATAATAGCAGAAAATATTCCAAATATGGGAAATGAATTTAACATACAAATAAGTGAGAGATATAGAACCCCAAATAGCCAAATGGAAAAACCTTGCAGAGACCCCTCATACTCAAAATCCCAGAAGTCTAGCACAAGAATAGAATCTTAAAAGCTGTTAGAGAAAAGCCACAAATCACTTTTAAAGATAAACCCATTAGAATTACAGTAGACTTTTCAACACAAACCTTAAAGGTCAGAAGAACTTGGAGTGAAATGTTTTAAGCCATAAAAGAAAAGAACTTCCAACCCAGACTGATATATCCTATAAAATTATCTTTCAGAATTGATGGCTAAATGAGGTATTTCCATGACAAACAGAAACTAAAGAATTGATGATCACCAAACTAGCCCTCCAAAAAACTCTCAAGGATATCCTAGAAGGAGACAATGAAGCTAATAATATTTCACAGTCCAAGAAATGAATACATGAGGTAATGGAAACAGTTAAGTAGAATGGAAGGAAAGGAAATAAACAAGAGGAAAATAGTCCAATGACAGGACTAAGTCAATAACTTTCAGTGAAAACTCTGACCATAAATGGCCTCAATCCCTAATCAAAAGAAGCACATTGGCAGAATGGATCAAGAAACAA